TAACTACGCCCTCCTCTCTCTCTCTACTTCGGTGCCTCGTTCTCTCTCTCTCTCTCTCTCTCTCTCCCCCGTAGAAAGTTAAAACATATGGACCATGGTGTTTTTTGGGGTCACAATATTTATCGTGGTCAACAATCAAAAGGAAGAGGGTTGTCTTCTACACGAGGCTGCAACCTTAAACAATCAAATTACGGTGCACTTTTTAACTTTGTCACAAAATGCAATTTAAGTGTGAAATTTACGAGATGGTACAAGAATTTATTTTTATCTCTAATACAGAATTTTATGTTTTAAAAATTATTCAAATCAAACAGATCTTTAAACAAATGAAAATCTTGCAAATGGACGTCCACATAATGTGTTGGAAGATGTATTATTTTCAAAAGGGAAAAGTTTATATAGAGTCGAGGCTCTAAACAATCAAATTTGAGCTTATATCATAAATTTCATTAGAAGAAGTTGTTTTGATACCTAAATATCTTCAAATTGATTATCTCGACATCAAGGTTGGATATGAGAAAAAAAATGGATTGCAAATTTTGAAAATAATGTGTTTTGTAATGCATTTTTGGACAGTCAATTTTCAAGATTTTTAAGATATCATACATATGTCGATCTACACTATTTTTTAAGCTTTGAACTTCATAAATAGATATGAAAATATATTTTAAAGCTATCACAAATATTTTCAATATCGAAACCACATTTCTTTGCGCAATTTGGAGATAGGCTCTAATTTGATTGTTTAGAGCTTATGCTCTATACAAACCGCACCCTTTTCAAAAAAATTATATACAATGAGACCATTTACCTTAAGTACTCACAATTACTTGCACCCATTCAATGTGAAATCTGATAGAATAAATGCAGCCACCCATGTGAAAATTTCTTTTAAACTTTGAGTTTTGTCTATAGAATAAATGCAGCCACCCAACTTCACATCTAATGATCAAGATTAATAGTGATCAACTTATACTAAAGATAAATGGTCTCATTGTATATCTTTCTATTTTTTAAATTTAAAATATCTTTTTGTCTTCATATCTATGCATCTCGATGTCAAGATGATCAATTAGATATTATTAACATCAAAACAATGTTTTTCGATAGATTATAGAGCTAGTCAACCTTATATAAACGTGCCTACATAATCTACAGCCAAAGCAATCTATCGTCTGCTCTCTGCTCAAACATGGACGGCGCAGATGAACTTGTATATGAGAAATGTATGCGACACATTGCTTGTTTGCGAGGTGGTATTTTGAGAGGGAAAGTCTATTACAGGGAAAAATGTCAAACAATGCTTCATAATCATTAAACCGATACATCGTCGTTTTCATTCCCACTGAAACCACCCCACTAACACTTTCAAAAAACTAATTTTTAAAAAACTGGAAAAGCGTCCCTTCCTCACTTAATTACTCAAAAAGAAAATTTATTGAATCGGCCAAATATCTCATTTATATGAGTAAGTCTAAGTTGTATTTTACTAAGTTACTCCTCCCAAAGGATCACACGCGTTAGTTTTCGGTTTCGTTCAAGTAACAGTTTACTTAAGGATTAGACATGTCTAACCTGCGTAAGCGCACTCCAGAAATTCATCTCAAAATGTTGTTGCGATGCTAAAAAAAAAAAAACCCTCCAATTGATAATGTTGACTTCAAACTTTGTCTACATCAAATAAAAAAGGATTCAAGTCTTAAAATCAGAAATCCAGTGATATATTATTTAGTCAATCTATTTTAAAGATTTTCGAGTTTTATGGATTTGCTTGATCTACGCTATTTTTGGAGTTCCAACTTTTTTCAAGGATATCACGAGAGTTACAGCATGTTTGGAAGTTCTCAAAAGATTTCCTATTCCCTTGGGAGTATACTATCAATTTACTCCCTCAGGCAAAATACATATTAGGGATACTTTCCAGATCTCTAATTTTGGGGATGTAATCTCTCCAACCCATAGAATAATCTAACACAAAAAAATTGAAATAAACTCTCTATGTATTAGAAAAAAATAATGTTTTAAAATTGAATAGAGGCCAATTAATTTTTTATGGGTTAAATATCTCAAAACTCAAAATTCAAATTTTATTTTAAAAATAAACATCTAGTAATTTTTATATGGTTTTCAAAAATTTAGACTAAAAAAAATCAACACAAGGTGCATTGACCGAGAGAGTAAATGCACATTATGCTCCTACCAGAGCACAATATATGTACTCAGTTGACCTTTCTTTGATTGTTTAATGTACCGGTTTTCAAGACCGAAGTTATGTTGATGACATTGTTATTTCAGACAATGATCAAGAAGGAACCAAACAACAATAATAGCTCAATTCTTCATGTTTAGCAATAATATTCATATTTTTCCATATATATTTATTGGTTTATTTTAATTTGAGATATTTATCAAAAATGCCTGGTCAACTATTTAATACTTTTACGATTTTCAAGTATTCCAAGCATTTTGATGGTTTTTTAAAATTATATCAAAGAATTTGTCAAAATGTTCAATAGTTCATTATTAAGTGCATTTTGATCAACTTCTCTTTTGTTTTTTTAAATGTTAAATTACTGAATTTATTTTATTTATTTGGATATTAGATTATTGATATTTTATTTCTTTGAATGTAAAATTATTGAGTTTATATTACTGTTATTATTTAACATAGGAAATGTGGTATTGATTATTGCTTCAGTTTAATTTACAAATACATGAGAACACAATTTGCATCCTTGAAAACTCGTTCCAAGTCAACAAGCCTTTGGTTCGGTTGTCCCGTGACCAGTGTAGGAAATCAGACGGTTCAAATTCTAGCTTCCCGGTTAAACCTGGTTAGATCGGACCAATCACTGTTTCGATCGATTTTAGTGAACTGGCTAGGTATTTAAAAAAATTCAAAAAAATTATATAAAATTTCAAAAAATAAGAGATTTTGTTTGTAATGTACTTTTTAATATTTTTATCATTTCGACAAAGATGTTTCAGCCATTAATACTTATTTTTACATTTTTCCATCTTTTTTAAAAAAATTCAAAAATACCCCTTAGTACAAATCAATTATTTAAAATTTATTTTTTTCATTAATTTTCAACTTCATTTGGATGTGCTTTCTTTAATCATGCTTTAAATATATCGTTCGTATTTTATTTTATTTTATTTTTGAAACAATTTTTTAACCACCCGGACCATGTCCGATTAGGCCGGTTGAACCAGCCGATTTACCTGTTAGGCCGTTTGAACCGCTTCTGGCCCCATATCCGGTTAACTGTTTGAGTTCAATTTTTCCTACACTACATGTGACACCATTATAATTGACTTTAGCTCAGCTCAACTGGCTAAATATTGTTGACAAGGCCTGAGAAAGACAACAAGGTATCATTGTTTCCATCTCTTACTAAACCACCAATACTCACCTTCTCTCTGTTCCTTCTAGAACTTCCATCAAAATTTAGCTTAACTCAACCTTGGAGTAGAGGTTGCCATCGGCTTAGGTTTTGGATCTTCATGACCAACGATTGATCTACTAATTAGAAATTAATAATGATATCTTCTTTTAAATTCTTTGCTGTCCATTGCCCAAAGGGCAATATTAGCTAACAAAGGAGTCAATTACACCCTCAAATGCTATTGTATTTTGCTAAATGTTTTATGTGAACCTTTACCGAGTGGAGAAAATTTTGGGGCCCCTACATTACCATGTAGTCTTTTTCTAAACCACGGATTTTGGATGTGAAATTTTATAAATAATTTCGACCACCACGATCATGAATTTGAAAAAAAAAAGAAAAAGCATAAT